CTAGGATGAACGGAGGGTACTGTCAGGCACCACAAAGAACGATATAAAGAGTGACTGACCTCTGTGTCGATATTAAGGTTCCAAAGGTCAAAACGGCCGGATCCATCGACAGAGCCGAATACAGCAGGGTGATTGGGATGCCACTTGACATCATAAACATAGTCATCCGCGTCCTCGAAAGAATAAATAGGTGGGATAATGTTTACTGAAATAGAAGGTTTTGCGATCGACTTCGCCTTCCACAGTTTCACGGTCCAGTCCACAGAACTCGTTAGGAAAATGTCCGAAAAGTCTACTGGGCCGACAAGAGGGTGGAAATGCAGGCCCGTCACGGGACCGGAGTGTCCCTTGTAGATGTCGTGCTGATTGAGACCGGCTTTGGAGCCAGCTCGGTCATATCGATTTGCTTGATACACGTTTCCCTCTTCCGTCCCGACCCAGAACGTCGCCGTCTCATTGTCAGGAAAATCGAATGTCGTAATTGCCACTTCATTGGTCTTATTATGCCCAGCATGGACTAGTTCCAGTGTTTCCTAATTGGACGCCAGGAAGATCCTGGTGAATAATGCACAGGAACACATAGCCCAGGGACACGTACCTGCGGCTGGGCGAGCATATCCACTAACCAACTACATACCATGCCATCCGTACTGCTAGTGATAAGATTGTGGGCATTCTGCGTCCCGACCATCTGCATTGCATAAACTGGATAAGTATGCCCAGCAGCTGACAATGGCGACTTTAATATCGGAAGGTGCTTTGCTCGTGTGTCCCAGAGAAGTATCTGGCCGGAATATGTACCACCGAAAACGAGGTTGGGGTGAAAGGGTGAGAAAGATACGGATAAGACATCAGACTGCCAACTCTTTTGAGCACTGAGTCTTAGGCTATAATGCGACGCGGGACCCACTTGTGAATGAAAAACAAATTCGGGCCGATCCACAAGATGCATGTTCCAAATTGCAACTATACCATCTGGATCATTGATTGCGGTGGGGTTCTTATTATACGATGCTGCGGTCAGCTCTGGGTACTGGAGAATAAAACAACTAAGAGAATTCCGTGCAACAAAGCCAGGGTCGCATTACCTTCGGAGACCAGTCGATATCTGTTATAGACCGATTCTTCGTCCACCTCTCGTCATGGAAGGCACATAATTCCCTTACGCGCTTCCCCTCCGAGTCAACCCTATCGATAGATATGCTGAGTGGACTTTTCGAAGACCCCTACGGAGTAGACTCACGATGTCCCATCAGTCCCGATTCTGTAGTCCCGAGTGTAGTCATATGGATCGTTCAACGCCCTTTGCATGATTTTAGATGATTGCTCAAAAAATTCGAAGAATTCAGGGGCGGAAAATATGCTGGCACGCTCTTCTTCCGTTAAATCTAGGGATGCATGACTACATGAGAAAGGAGTACAAGGATGTACACCCACATACCTCGAATTTCATCTTCAATTTCCTTCGCCATCTGATTATTTTCTTCTTCCAACTCTCTTTCTCGAGCAACCCTCGCGGCCTCTACTTCGGCTTGTATTCGTTGGCGGATTTCTGCCTCAGTAGGCCCGACAGGGACCGTTTCGTAGGTCGATGTCTGGACCTCCCTATTGTAAAACTCGACTTTGGGTTTCTTGGGCAGAGGTGGCAGTATTGATTCATTGCGTTCTGGAACTTGTGATATTGGGGTGGGTTCTGTCAAATTTCCGCTAGAGATAGGTGCAGTTTCTGGGCTAGTTTTGAATGTCAAATTGACAAACACTAGGGAAAAGTACGCGATAATCTCACGGATCAGGAGCAGGCTCGGAAGGAGAGATGAACTTCCCACGACCAAGGGTATCTGAGCCTGTATCACTGCCCCTACTGACCCGCCCAGAAGGAGGTAGATTTGAGCCATTGACTGATCTGCCTTCGTACCCAACGCTTATTCGATCTGATCTTTCACTAGCCCGGCTAGCACGACCAGAGGGAGAGGATTCGCCCGGACGAAGTGTTGGAGTGCCCGGCATAGTTGTGCTGCCATGGGAGCTACCTCTTGGACTTCGAATCGAGTCAATAATATCATCAATATCCTTCATTCCTTTTCTAGGAGAAGAATTGGATGCCTACGGGAAGAAATCGTTTGTTGTACATCAATTTTAGCATTGGGCAGCGTGTGTACATCCCGCATTGGTGTTGCATACCTCCTCCTGTCGAGCATTAGTTCGCGACGCCTCGCGTGCCTTGCGCATCTCGCGCATTTCTTCAAGCTTCTGGCGCTTTGCCAGCAAGTCTGCTCTCCTGCGTTCTTGCATGGCGATGGAATAAGAAATTCCAGCAGAGAACGGCAACCTGGTGGGATCGGAGACTGCCGAACAGCATACCCCCACTGCACAGCTCCTCAGTCCTTACTTTTCCTATGGCGTCTACTTCGTCTGCGGGGCACTGGCCTCCTGCGGTCCGGTGAGCCTCCTTATTCTTTCCCAATATTTTTTTCTCGGGGGCTCACCCTAGGACTCTTTCAGAGAATGGGTGGCAAAATGCTTAGGGATGATGAATGATAGTAATCGAGAAGCAGCATCTGCAGAACTCAAAAAAGCCATTAAAGATGCACACGCGAAGAATGAGCTCTCAACGATTGACTGGTCAAAGGTCGAACTGGAAAGGTAAGTACACTGTCTCCACCCATCGGTGGGTCATTGACGCAGGAGACTCGGGAGCGATAGCCTCAAGTCATCAAATAAACAACCCCTGAAGCGTAAAATAGATGGGTGAGTGCGTCTCTTCCTTGTCCGAAGTATACAATTCGGTCTGATCGTGAGAGCAGACCTGAGGACCACTTAAACAAGAAACTGAAGAAACCAAATATATCTGGGGCACCACTGGACAACCAGGGAGTCAAACCAAGCGATCGTTTTGCTCGGTTTGCTCGAGAACATGAGATCGAACGTCAAAAGCAATTGGGATCTTACAAACCAAAGAACGGGCAAGAATACGATCGACATGTCAACGCCCCGTCATCTTTGGCAGTCAACAGGGAACCCTACAAAATCAACTCTTGGGATCAGTCTGCAGCAACCTCTAGCTATCATCATAGACGTAAATTCCTCAACCCTGGGGGCACTGCTGACGAAGAAGATACCCCTGTGTACGATGCTGTGCGTCTGCTACCCTGTCGTCCTTACATTCCAGATCAATCTGACCAATTATTTGAGCAGAACGTAATCGATTGGGACAAATATACAATCGTAGGAAGGTCCACAAAACTGTGGAAGCGGTATCTCCGTATTACTTCGGCATGTCTCCTGATGTCTGTATCCCTTAATAATACACACACTCAATGTCCCTCATTTTCTCAGGAGCCTGATCTAGATAAGATTCGTCCCCTCGAAATACTTCGAAAGACATTAGCCGAACTAAGCCGGCAATGGAAACAAAATCCCAATTACCCCTGGACTTGTGATCAACTCAAAAGCCTTCGACAAGACCTCACAGTTAAGCGCGTGCCTTAATCCGGGATCGTCTATTACTGAAAGGACACCTAACGTTCAGGTGCAAAGGATTAAAAATGCCTTCACGGTTCAAGTATACGAAATTCACGCACGAATGGCTCTCGAAAGCGTAAGTATCGTTCCTACTATTCGACCTATTTCCTTATCCTTGTATGTTGTAGGCGGATCTTGTGGAGTACAATCAATGTCAAGCTACTCTTCGACACTTGTACGATCTCGGGTTGCCTGGGAACAAAGACGAGTTCTTAGCCTATCGTATCTTATATTTGACCTATACCCGAAACCGAAGTGGTAAGTTTTCGTTGCACGTTCCCAATATTTGGGTCTTGTTGACGAGTGGAAAAACCAGACCTGAATATGTTGATAGCTACACTAACCCCTGAACAGAAACAGCAGATTTTTGTACGTCAAGCTCTCGATGTTCAAACAGCCCTATCAACCAGCAACTATCACGCCCTATTTGTTTTGTTCACCAACGCATATAATATGGGCGGGTACATTCTCGACCACCTATTGGAACGAGAGCGTGTGGGTGCTCTTGTCATAATGACTAAAGCGTATGCCTGCTGTTTTCTTGGTTGGCTGTGATTGATTTCTGTCTTCATACGAACCAGATATCATCGATTGCCAATATCGTTCATCACGAGCGAGCTTGCATTCGAGAGTTCATCTGCAGCCGTGCAATTTCTATACGCCAATGACGCCGGATTCTTCCTCAAGCCGACTACTAGCTCTAAGAACGACACTCCGCCAGATCCCAATCCCAGTCAAGCAGCTGGTGGTGACACCCGAGGAAATGGGTCATCATCACTCCTAAACCGCCTAGGGAAACTAACAACGGATGCGGAGGTGGAAGCGGACGACGATGACAAGATATTGGATTGTCGGCCCGCACATCCACCCCTGGTGGAATGCCTTGCGAACAAACACAGTCGTGTGGGCATCAAAGGCCAGATTTGACGCTCAGCACCAATAGACTCCTGGATCAAGTTCAGTGTGTACAGTTATCCGTCCTTCCAGTCTGCGACATCCCTCGACCGCTATGATCGATCATCCATCGATTCGTTCGACTTTCTGGTTGCACCTTTGTCCTTTCTATCCGCCCCTCAGTAATCGCTTCATTTGTTTTCGGATCTCCACATATATCCTAATCACGAACAGCCCTCCACCGTTTCCCCGCGCATGAGGGGCGGAGAGTGTTCCACCTCATATTTGTACCTACAGTATACAAACAATATGAACATTTTGCTACATCTACAATTCTTTTGGGATGATATCAATCTCGCATCCGGGCGGGGACCAAGTAGTTACTTCCCTCAGTATTTCTGGAGTACGGTGGGGGAATCGATTGATTCGACCAGGACCGTCACCAGCGTTTACTGCAATTGACACATAACGCATAGTGGCATGGCACTTTGAGAACATCCAGCCTGCGGCAGCTAGTTGAGCAGGGGCACCGCATGCGAAAGGAGAAGGACCTTCCACGCAAAGCCCAAGTGGAGGTCAAAAACTGGAGATTGAGGGATTTGAACCCTCGACTTCTCGCAAGCTTGCACATTGATCACACGATTGCATAATGCGAAGCGAGCACTCTACCCCTGAGATAAATCCCCCATCCGCTGTCCGAAGAATTTTTGATCCTTTGGATTTACGAGTTGGATATTTCCGGGAATTGCCGCGTCATCTATCAGGTGTAATTCGGCAGACACCTATGGAGGGGCATCCATGCGTGAGAGACCCATTGTTGGAATTGTGCATCGCTCATCATGTTTCATACAAGTATAACGACCTTCAAACCGTGTGTGCAAGATATCCCAAACACGCCCAGAGCTTATTTCAGACGTACAATGACATGATATATGGTGAGATACTTGTCGCACATTCTACTGAAGCGGATCATTCATTCTGGTGTCCAAGTCCAGCAATGGGTGGACGTTAATGTTGTAGAAATTGCAGAATTGAGTAGGGCCATAGTAACGGGACGAAAGGCTGCAGATGTAAGTGCCCTCATTGAAGATAGCAAGGGGCCAAGGGCCATTTGAGCGCCATGCACATTTTAGGAACCTATGAGAATTGTCGTTCCGTGCTCCTTATCAGAGAACCTCTCTATCAAATGGTATAGTACTCTGGTGACTCTTTTTACCCCTTTGAATAGAGTGTAATAAACGTCTTCATTCCTCCAGGCTCAACGACGTGTTCCAAAACTGCTCCCCCATTCCCAACGAGATCTGGATCGGAATTGTAGGGGACGACTCCTCGATGGTGTATTATAAACTAAGTAAGGGCATTGTAAAGCCACCAATGTAGCAAGACTCTGTCCGGCCTCCAGGGATTAATGCAATATGTCCACCTTGAACACGAACAATTCACCGCTATCGGTGGCTAAATAGCGGCGGAGGCCCATGTTCAGAGCACAGACAAGAATATGGTTTGACATGTCATTGTCAATGCTCAATCTTGTCACTCGACAAGCAATCCTACAAAAGCAACTCTTGGGATCTGTCCCTGTGAGCTTCTACTCGTCATCGGAGATGTAAATTCGTAATACTGAGGCCACTGCTCATGAGAAGGGCTGCGATGTCCCTCGACCGTGTTTATACTCACTCCTGCAATCACATCTTGAACCCTACATGTACCCCATCACTCCGTCGTTTCCGCATTCCCATGAGGCAGAGAGCATTCCGCTTTATTATTGTACTACCTACAGTATGCGAATAATATGAACGTTTTGCTACATCAACTGTACATGTTTTTCTTGCCGGGTGAGGGGGGTTGATGATCAGATTCATGGTGAAAATCGAGTACGGCCAGTGGTAAATCAATCCCGCATCCGAGCGGGGACGAAGCGCTTGATAGTTACTTCTCTAATGGTGTATTCCTGCAGCACAGCCGGGGAATCGATCGATTCGAGCGGGACGCGCTTCATCGCTGGGATCGTGACGTACACCAGCATTAAAGACTTGAGATATGTGATATAATCGCATTAATCAATCTCATTGCGGACTCCCTGATTTGCAGAAGCTAGACCCACCTTGCGAACTTGTGTGTTGACACGATTAAGAGTGCTGAGCCAAGACCATGATATGGGTTTCGTATTAGGGAGATCGAAAGGCGAGCTCTGTTCGTCGCCTGGATCTTCGTATGTGGGACACACGACAAGGGAGAATCTATAATCACGTTTCTGGGCATTAAATTATAGGAACAAAGGAAATGCTGGTGGAGAACACACGAACTCTGCATGCGTGAACACCGGCCCGCGTTTGTATAATAGATAATCAGTACAAAATTTAAGGCCGCTCTTGATAACCCAGCCAAGGGACCGGAAATGGTGATACACGACGTAATGCACCAGGAACGGGTTGTCGAAGCGCCGATGCTGGGATAACGAGGGTGGTATCGGGAATGTGTGCGCGGCGAGGTATGCTTGCCATGCTTGTTCTCGCGTAAGGTAGGTTTCCTGGGCATCGCTGTCTGGTTTAACGCGGGAAGTGAATTGTGGAGGACACAAGCATACCGTGATAGGATCAAGCACGTCCAGACAGTCTAGACCCCATGAGAGGAAAAAGGCCTCTTGGAGAGTGAGCTGGAGGTGTTCCATGTTTTCTGGCCTATCGCTTCCCTCTGGTTCCTCCCCTTCATCCGGAGGCGGATCGTCCAAAGGCGGAGGAGGATCGGAGGTGCTAAGGTGAGGCGTGCTCGCCTTCTGGGCAGCCAGGTTAGCGCGCACCGCGGTAGAGATATTCTCCACCGGGGGCGTAGGAGGTCTCCCTTCTGTGGCGAATCTGGCTTCTGCCTCGGCAGCTGCGGCAGCGATAGCCTGCGCCCGTTCGGTCTTGAAAAGTTTACGCTCTTCGCGACGTTTAGCAGTGAGCTCTTCGGCGGTGAGAACTAGAAAAGAACCGCAAGATGAAAGAGAGAGATGGTTAATTATTTGGAACCATTCAAAGCCACGCAGGACAGAATAAAACAAGAGGCACCTTTAACACCATTCAACTGATTGATTCTGCGATTTAACCACGTGGGCTCGCTCCGAGATAAGTTCCCCTTTCCAAAGAAACCTCTTTTCCAGAGAATGTCTATATCGCGGGCGCTGGTAATCCACACGGAGCGGGACTTTTCATCGAAGACACCAACACAATGTGGATTCGAAATCGATGCGCGTGCAAGTGGGGTCGATGGCCCTAATACTCGAGAAAGGATTGGACCGGCATAGAGGGATGGAACAGGAACGAGAGGCAATGCATTCGCATATATTTTGTTCTCTGGTCGTCTACTTGGACCTTTTTCCGTCATTGTTCGAGATCGCAATTTCCCAGGATCACATGCCCCAACCCTAACATCTCGACGCCATGAGTTGGGTTCCTGGGCAGCTTAGATTTTGACTTTTGGGCTGGGATTACGTCTGTCCTCTCGGACGGTACTAGAGTAAGCGACTCAAAGAACGAGTTCTTTCCGACCTTTGCGAATTCAACAACGCCTCTCATCACCATCCGACCCAATGGAGACCTCCCGCTCATACATTATGGATCTCTGACTCTGGGAGAAAGAAGTGGGTGAGGGTGCTGTATCCAGTCACTCTATTTCCTGTGGCTCGAACAGGCCCTCAATCAGGCCTAATCCTTGAGATTGTTGGACGATTGACTTCTCTCTCTCTGATAAATCCTGGGTTCGCAGTAAATTTAGTGTCGGGATATTAACCCTCATTTGAGCCATATTTTACAATGGCTTTTATTTCTGCACTTCGATCGCTTGTGCGTATATTCGTGTTTTTGAAGATCTTGGACTCGAGTCTGCTCTGTTGTCTTCCCTAGCCACCTGGAAAGGTAATGAGGAACGGGATGTCATTAATTTCTGGAGTCACGCCACATTGGAAACAGATGCTGCGTCACACAAAGGAAAAAGCGAAAGTGACTCCGAGGACTACATAGCGATACAGCGCTGACGCAAGCTGCCACGTATTACCCCCACCTCTGCCCATCCCCTTCACATCAACAACACCTACTATCCGAATAAACCCTCATCTTATCTCAGAAGCCCAGGTCCCGGAGTCTCGGTCTTTCATTTTTCAAGAAAACTCGTCGCCTTCCTGTCCCAGACCCATTACGACACCAGGTAATAGTCCCGGGCCATTTGACGGAATGGTCCCTTGGGACCGAGAACGCATCATGCGTCGATGCACTCCACCATCGTCCTCTTCATCTCCATCCTGCGCTGGATTGGACGGTTTGCGTCCTTCAAAGCTCGACGAGCCCCATGTCTTCAGCTCCCAGCACCAGGCCTGATATCCCTACCTTCGAAATACCGAGAAGCGGTATGCATGGGTAGGTGATATTGCAGGAGTCACGATTGCGGAGACGAGGCTAGGGTACGTACCCATTCTGTGGCAGGGTTGTGGGCTTGGATGCCTAGCCTTTCTCGACGATGGTGCGGCTGGAGAACGGGTGGATACCTGCGTTTCCCGCGGGGTACTGGGGTTGCCCCTGCTTATGGACGCGAAGGGGAAAGGGAGGGCGATGGATTCGACATCGAGGCGGTGAAAGAGCTCACTCTTATCAGCAAGGATGCCCCTGAGTTGGGATCAAGCTCTGATTCGGAACATAGTGTCGATTTGGAGATCAAGGCCTCATCGCAAGAGTACCACTTGTATGTATCCTATATGGATGCTTTATCGCCCCTGATATTTGTATTTCGATATGGCTGTTTAGAGGTTCCAGGGATGAATGTACACATAATTGTATCATATGGGGAAGAAGAGATGTGGAATATAATCCTGATCAAAGGGATGAGCAGATAATGAGACATTGTTGGGATATTGTAGCGCAAGGGTCTCGAAGTATTCAGGAACATTGGCCAAATGCGTCCAACTGAAATTGTTCAGGCGAATTTCCAACTCACTCTGGCGTTCCAGCCGGATTCGTAGGAAATCCCTGAGGGCGCGACATATTTCTACTTCAGGGTCTTCAGGGAATTGCGTAATCTCAAAAACAGGAGCACCAGGAGGCGAGTTGAAAGCGACGGGCGAATCTATCCGTGTCATCGCCCACGCCTCCACCCATGGAGAGAAATGAGTGGGCGCCTCGCGATATATAATATGGAAAGAGGAGAGGCGGGGTAGGGAGAAATCAGAAGGTAACGAGCTGATTGGTTTCGCGAGCATCTGGACGACGGGCAAGATGGCCCGCGGACTAGACGAGCCTATTGCTTCGAGAGTCGGATGATTGTCCACAAGTCGGAGGATTTGGAAGTCGGAAAACCATCCAGTCTCGACCCACAATGTGCGAAGATGAGGAAAGGGTCCAATACTTCCCAGTATGTCCATCGCGTGGTTGAATGAAGTGGATAGCACAAGATGGCGGAGGCGTGGGGTCTCCATTCGATCGAAAATATGGAAGCGGTGTAGGCGTGGCATCCATCTGATCATCTCTACCGACTCGGATCGCAAGCACGTCGGACCAAACTGTTCGGCCTCTGCATCGACGTGTTCTGGTCCCCAGATTAAACTCCGTAGGTTGGGATAGGTGAGGAGCGATTCCATGTGTTCCCTCATGGTCCTGACATCACCGCCTTTGATAGTTAAATCCCTCACTGCAAGACGGCTCTTTCCTAGCCTGAC